CAAGTTGCCTTGGCAGCTTGTTTGGCCAAAGGTTGGGGCCCTCCTCGGGGACCCTTAGGTTGGTCCCGGGGCGTCGTACTCGAATGTTTTGACCCTAAAAACATTATTAAGACACTAGAGTCACCTCCACTGATTTAGACTCCAAACAACACATAAAAACATGAACAACATACTAGAACACACCAACACGAAAAAGACTAGTTTCCGAACGTCTTGGTCGTCCCTTGACGTTTGACTTCCAAACTCTTTAAAACTGACTAAAAAAGCTATTCTTCATTATTTTAACAAGTTATTAATGCAAAAACTCATGTGAGGCTCTACTTTATCCTACTTCATTTTGATGGGTGTTACAATATCCCCCACTTAGGAACATTTGTCCTCGAATGACACTTAAAATACTTTCGAGAACTCAATGACCCAATTAGCAGCTCACAACAAGCAGTAATATCATTACTACAGAACCCATCAAGGAGGAAACATCAACTCCACATAAAAACATTACAACAAGACTTTCATGCAATTTAAGGAAGTAGGAATAACATCTACCACTCAATATGCACAAAACTTTACCATTTCTCATTTCTTTGGAGAAACTTCCTTCTCCATAGCATATTATGCTCATTACAACATTTATAGGCTCACCATACAATTTCTCTCAAGAGCATAATCATGCAACATCAAGATCACATCAAGGCATGCTCAACTAGGCATCTCATGGAGCAATTTAAACAATTTCTTCATAAATGCATATAAATCATGAGGGGCATAATCAAGAAAACTCATTTATTTATTTATTTAAACAAGAATTCAACTAAAATATGCACATCATAAGGAGAATATGGATACTCAATTCACATAAGACTCCAACATGCAACATGCTACTAAGAACTATTTGTTTCAAGCTTGAATTAGAATAGAAGGAAAAGATAAGGATATCAACAACCTTACTACTCAACTCATCATCCCCCACTTTGGGTAAACCCATCTAAGGTTATCATCAAAAAAACAAAGAACATTGACTTACCTTCATTTGTTCCCTTATGCTTATTAGCTTGAAGCATATAGAAACGGTTCTCTTACGAGCATTTGGATCCGGGCCATCATGAGCAACTTGATTGGTCTCTTTTCCTTTTGCCTTAAGTGTAGGGCAATCTCTCATCCTATGACCCTTACTCCCACATCTAAAACATCCATCCGTACCGGCAAGACACTTGCCCAAATGTTGCTTTCCACAAGTAGCACACCTAGGCCTCTCAAAAGTAGAACCACCTCCACTCCCTCTTTGAGGGTTAGGGTTAGACACCCTATCATTGTAGACCATTGAAGAATCTTGGTTATAGAACCTCTTCTTAGACCTAGATTGGTTTTGTTCATCCGGCCTAGCCCTCTTCATATCTCTATTCATCTTCCTAAGCTTTGTCTCCTCAAGTTGTTGAGCATAAACCATAATCCTAGAGATATCCATATCATGATGGAGCATGGTTGTACGACACTCTTCTTCAACCAAACCGGAAACCTCCATCACAAACTTATTCATCCTAGCCCTAGAATTGGCTACCAAGGTAGGAGCATACTTAGAGAGTTGGGTAAACTTGAGAGAGTATTCCTTCACACTCATATTCCCTTGACGTAGGTTCATGAACTCAACCAACTTTTGCTCCCTCAACTCTAAGGGGAAAAGCCTATCAAGAAAGGCTGTTTTAAACACTCCCCAATTTATTGGGTCAGCCTCTATGGGTCTCTCATCCCTCCATTGCTCAAACCACACTTGAGCTACACCTTTGAGTTGGTAGGAAGCTAACTCCGCCTTCTCCCTAGGAGTCACTCCCATTGCATCCACAATCTTAAACACCTCATCTATAAAGTTTTGTGGGTCCTCATCTATCTTAGAACCAAAGAAGGTAGGAGGGTTCATCCTTGTGAAATCCCTTAACCTTGAGGCCACAGTACTCTCAATAGCATTCACCCTAGGCCTCACATCTCTATTTGCTTGAGTAGTCATGGCACGGGCCAGGGAGAGAAAAGCCTTTCTAATCTCCCCATTAGTCATATCTGGGGGAACCACCGGAACCACATTCTCTTGCCTACCTAAAGGAGCTTGGCCACCTTGCACTCCTTGGGGAGGAACTCCCCCATCATCTATCTCTTCTTCCGCTCTCCTCCGGTTAGCCCTCGTATTCATATCCTATAAACACAAGAGACGGATTAGGAAAAGGACACTTATAGACCAAACTCTAAGGCACCACATCAAGAATAATTAAAGAAAGTGAAACTGCTATCGTCCTATAGCCTCTCGCTCATAGATGTGTCGCGACTCACACCGATGAACAACACTTTACTAGACGTGGCTTTCGAGACTTTGAACCTAAAAGTAATCTTTAAAACCTAATGCTCTGATACCAAGTTTGTAACAACCCGAGAGCACCCCCTAGCCGTTACATGCGTATTCGACCTCTCGAAGGTCTTATACAAGCCTTAGCATTCATTCATCGCATAGATCATAAAATCACTAAGAATTTAAAAAATTTATTCAATAAAACCATAGGACTTCAAGATTCATCAACATTTGAAAACATCAATACGCAAGCGAAACTACTAAGTCTCTTTAGCCAATCTTAGACAAGAACTTAAAACGTACTAAGGGACACGGCCCTTTACAAATGAAATGAAACTTAAGTGTCTATTACAATGACTAAGAAACTTCTAAACATAGTCCTCGAATCTTGAGGACATACCAAAGACTTGGAAGAGTGAAGCAATCCAAGCAACTCCAAA